CTTCCCATGCATGTGGGTGGCATTGGCTTTACAGTTCCTGCCTATTGCAGTTTGACTTTCTTCTGGGGCATGCCCTGAGTGAGAGTGCTCGTAGATGGTATCATTGGAGAACAGGGCTGTCCTGTCATTTGTGACTGATCGAGATCCACGCTCCTCATTGTTGGAGCCAAGTACAGTTTTGCCCCTTTGACTCTTGCTTCCTTGGGAGCTTTTGCTTGGAAGTGATGGGAAAGTCCTGGGGAGAGTAAGTCAGGCTCAGGGGTCGGTGGATGGCAGGCCTGGTTCATGCTGGGCCAAGCTAAAGTTGCATGTGAGGACCAAAAAAACCCACCTCTGCTAGCTCTGTCATCAGACTAGCAGGGAGCCAAGAAGCGGGATGGCGAATCCCATCGCAATGTTTCCAAAGCAGAATGACAGGGCAACGACCATCGCACCTTCAAATTGTTAGGGAGCCTGAAATGGATGATTTGGTTCAGAAGAAGCGGTTGTATCCATCTGGCCTGTCTGCGCACGCGTCCTAGTCGCGTGCTACAAGCCCTGGGCCAGTTTCTTAACCTTCATAACCTTCCTCTTTGGATTTATGCACAAATTACTAACTGTCATAACTTACATGAGAGGCTGTTTCTGGCTGTAAAAGAACAAGCAGTGTTACCCGAAAGTTGATATCTGTAAAATGCTCTCCACCTTCGAGTGACCCACATACGTGCCACCGCTTATTGTGAAGGTGAGCAAAATGGGCTGGCGATAACCATTCCTTAAAAATAGGATTGTAATCCAGCCTGTGGTGACTGCTGGCACCTGGTCCTGTCTTCAGGGTCCCTGTTCTTTATGGAAATCATGACATGAGACCAACTGGACCCACTCTTCCCTTCCCCAACTCAGGCTATTGTACACAAAGGCTGCTATTAAGAGTTAGAATCATAGACTCACAGACGAGGAGGGCTGGAAGGGAGCCCAGGAGGTCACATCTAGTCCAACCCCTGCTCCAAGCAGGACCAGCCCCAACTCCATCATCCCAGCCAAGGCTTTGTCTACCCGGGTCTTTAAACACCTCCAAGGAGAGAGATTTCACAGCCTCTCTGGGTAACCTGCTCCAGTGCTTCACCGCCCCCCAGTGAGAAAATTCTTCCTAATATCCAACCTCAGTTTCCCTTGCTGCAACTTGAGCCCATTGCTCCTTGTCCTGTCATCTGCCCCCACTGAGAACAGCCCAGCGCCATCCTCTTTGCAGCCCCCCTGCAGGGAGGTGAAGGCTGCTATTAAATCCCGTCTTCTCTTCTGCAGAGTAAATTAACCCGGTTCCCTTAGCCTCACCTCACAAGTCATGTGCCTCAGCACCTGAAAACCATTTTCACTGCTCTCCACTGGACTGTCTCCAGTGTGTTCACACCCTTTCTGTAGTGGAGGCCCCACAACTGGACACAGGACTCCAGATGTGGCCTCACCAGGGCTGAATAGAGGGGAAGAATCACTGCCCTCGACCTACTGGCAACACCCACCAATGCAGCCCAGGATGCTGGTAGCCTTCTTGGCATCAAGGGCACACTGCTGGCTCATCTTCAGCTTCTTGTCCACTGTCAGCCCCAGGTCCTTTTCTGCAGAGCTGCTGCCCAGCCAGTCAGCCCCAGCTGTCCCAGTGCATGGGATTGCTCCATCCTAAGTGCAGGACTTTGCACTTGTCCTTGTTGAACCTCGAGAGGTTTCACTTGGTCCAATCCTCCAATTTGTCTAGATCACTCTGAATCCTAGCCCGACCCTCCAGCATATGTACTACACCCCTCAGCTTGGTGTCATCTACAAACTGGCTGAGGGTGCACACCATCCCA